TCTGGAAGTTCTGGAAGCCCGAACGTACTTGTCAGAACGCGTTTTTCTAGCGTTTTTCAGCGTGCCTGCTGTATCTTTTTGGTAAATAGTAGGTACTGGATTAACGATTAACGGACTTAGGATAATTTAACGGAAGTTAACGAGTCCGTTAACCTTTTTTAAAGTTAACTTAAAAGTTAATAGAAATGTTAACTTCGTTAATTAACGATTAACGGATTAACGAGTTAATGCCCAGCTCTGATACTTACATAGTTACGTTTAGGGGTGGTTTTACCATCGTCGAATAACTTTTAACTGAAGAATAAACTTGTCATTTTGACATACTTTCCATACTGAAACTGTCAGCGTATCAAACTTATTCTTCAGATAAAAGTTATCCGACGATTTTAAAATCAGCCCTAAGATAGAGTCACTAGCCAATAAATCTATCAAACCGCAGAAAAACAGTCTGCCCTTGCTTGGCAGCCGTGTACTGCACTGCAACATGTGAAAATTCCGAATTTCCTTTCTCATAGTTTGGAAAATAACACAGTATTTCACAGTCTAGCATCATTGTCGTTGGTATGTCAAAACTTACGTCCAGCACACTCACAGAGATACTCCGTTTTATTCGGGGCAATTGCATTTTACATCTAAATACAGTAATGCAAAGCCTCTTCAAAAATTTCCAAATTTTACTATGTTTTTTCAGATACTGCCTAGGAAAGTCAGGGAGACCTTAAAGGCAGGAAAAAATACTCTGATATCGTGAGTTAGAAAGCGGAATAGCGCCATCTGGTTAACTTTGATTTAAAGAAGTTCAACAGCGTGCTTAACGTAGCGCAACCCTTTAGATGCCCTAACAGAAGGGTTACTCCGAAACACGTTATGCCTCCGCTCCGCTGCAATACTCGCGGAGTTAATCGAAGTATAGTGTGGACACGCACTTCACTTCATTTCGAGTTCTAGCAACGTTGCCTCGCCTCACCCGACTTCTTGTTGTCGGTAAAGCGCTAGAGGGCTTTCGTGCTATGAAGTTTGAAATGTCTGACTACACTACTCGGCTAACTTCGGTTCTTCATCGAAGAGTTGGCGTCGCGACGCGTGAAGTCGTAGTGTAGCAGAGGGAGGCGAAGTTTCGATTGTTGAAAGGTCAAACAAAACGAGACACTAGCATTCGTTCGTTTCAGTCAAAAGACGTCCACTGCTGGACAAAGGCCTCCCCCAAGGATTTCCACAAAGACAGGTCCTGCACCGCTCGCATCCAAGCACCACACACTAACTAGCATTACCCGAAAATAAGTAAATGGCGTTTCGGAGTAGCCATGTTTTGGGACTGAATTATACAGGGTGACTGGAACTGAACCCGCCATAGCTAATACGCGTATAGAGGAGGTCATTTGCTAATTATTGAACCCTACTTTCTATGACTAAAGTTTTATAGTTTAGGAGATATGTCAATTTTTATACTTTTTTCAGATTTTTCCGAAATTTGACCTAAAAACTGCTTAAATTTTTTTTCTCGCATGATTTTAACCGATTTTTTTATTTAATACTAATATCGAATAAACCTTTAGTCAAATAAAATAAATTTCAGATCTAGATAATGATTCAATAACTAGTTACGAGCCGTCAAAGTTCAACAAAAGTACAAACCACGATAAAAAAATCAAGTTCGAATTCGATTTAAAACAAACTATAGGTGATAATGGATTGCCAATGATCTTAAAAATATCTCTAGCTTCTCTTCTTTCCAATGATATATCACACGTAGTAATTAGATATTGAAATTGATTAAAAATTCAAAGTTTATGGAAGAAAATGGAGTAATAACACAGATTAGTACTACGTACAGAAGTTTTACTTTGCGAAGGTATTTAAAAAAATGTATGCTCAATGTCATTAACAATATGGTGTAATTTAGCCTGTCTCAAGAGTCAAGCACCATTTTGTTGACAAACGTCAGTGATCGGCACTGCGCCGAAGCTATAGGGCTGACTTCGGTAAAATGATGTGACGTGAGGTGCCAAACTGCGGAAAATGGCGGAGGAAATACATGATTTAGCATGAATTATCATGAATAATATTAACTACTTATTTACCTCTCAGTGTCTTGAGGCAACTTCCAAAAAGTACATTCTGTGTTTTTATTATTATTTAGGCAGTTAAATACTGCACAGTATTTAGTACACCATTTTCTTTATTTTCTTCCATCATACACAAGAATACGCGTGCGTGAGTCAATGTTCGCTTGTATGTGAGGCCTTGTCGAATAGTATCCTGTAGGTGGGCCATCGTGCGTGTTTTGTTTTCGATGTAAACTCGCGGAGATGAACAGGCCTGGTAATAATACGAAAATTATCCATACAAAGTTTCTTCAAACATCTCATATTTATCTGCTATACTCCTTTTCATAACTATTTTTGTGTGTTTTTTGAAAAATGAATTTAAAAACAATAATCAAATTATGATGAAAAGAGTTGAAAAAAATTCAAAGTAAACTTTGTATGGATAATTTTTGTATTATTACTCCATTTTCTTCCATAAACTTTGAATTTTTGACAAATTTCAATATCTAATTACAACGTGTGATATATCATTGGAAAGGAGAGAAGCTAGAGATATTTTTAAGATCATTGGCAATCCATTATCACCATTAATTTTTGTTTCAATCGAATTCGTAGTAGAATTTTTTATAGTGGTTTGTACTTTTGTTAGACTTTGGCGGCTCGTAACTAGCTATTCAATCTTTATTTGGATCAGAAATGTATTTTGTTTGAATAAATACATATTCGATATTAATATCAAATAAAAAAAACTGTTAAAATCACGCGAGATAAAAAAATTGAAGCAGTTTTTAGGTCAAATTTCGGAAAAATCTGAAAAAAGTATAAAAATTGACATATCTCCTAAACTATAAAACTTTAGCTATAGAAAGTAAGGTTCAATAATTAGCAAATAACCTCCTCTATACGCGTATTAGCTATGGCGGGTTCAGTTCCAGTCACCCTGTATTAATTAAGACCTAATTTCATATAGGTACCTACTAACATGTCGTTAAACCACAGGTTTAGTATCGTGTTTTTAAAATATGTTCATCATAGCTGTTTACTTCTCAAAGTTACGACAGGATGGTGCCAGTTAAGGCTGAGTTGCCACCACCTAACTTTAACCGTAACTTATAACGTTAACCGGTGCTTTTTGTATGCAGTTTGACAGATTTTTGACGTTTGTTCTTTTAGGGTTGACTTTTCAAACGTCAGATATCAATGATATTATATTGTCAGATATCTTTTAACTGCAGTATTCTTCAGTTATTTGGCATTTAAACAATATTTCCCAAATTGAACTGTCAATGTGTTCAGATAAAAGTTAACCGACGATTGTAAAATCAGTCCTGACAAACATCGTTCATCGTTAAAAAATGTAAAGGATATCGAAATTTTTAGAAAGATTTCATTTTTTGTTGTTTTTTCAGGGTTTTGAAAAGGTATAGCATCAAATTAAAGTATGAAATTATTTACTTCAAATAAAATTATTAAGAAGCGTAATTACTCACTTTAAATTAGTTAAAAAGGTAGTTATAACTATAACCATTTTAGGATAAAAATCCCCATCTTATTTTTTCTACCTCGCTTAGGTATCACTCACTGTTTTAATCTAAAGGCATCAGCATTTTTCAATGCTTAAGCCTTTGCAAAAATTTGAAAGTTATCTACCTACTTTAGAGTGCCTGCCCGTAAAAACAGTAGTAGACCTTAAATTCAAGAAAAAATGAAATGATACCGCGGGTTAAAATGAGACAGCGCCATCTTGTTTCGTTTTTTAAACTAGTCTGAAATTCTTAATTTAAATTCATTTGATAAACTCTCAAATCACAAAAATCACATAGTACGAAAAAAATAAAGTTTTACTCATTACGGAACCATTACATGTTCGTCTCATAGGGTGGGTTGGTATTACTTTTCTCTATGGTGGGTTGCACCATCTTACTTTCTAAAATCTGTCAAACTCCATACAAAAAGCACCGTTATGTCATTGTTATGGTAAAAATAAGGTGGTGCAAATCAGCCTCAATCTTTTTACCCTACCAGCGCCATCTAAGGCAGATGGCGCTGGTAGGTTAACGATAAGTAAGAAGGCAAGACTGATTCTACTACGGGGTGCTGTCAGTATCCCGCCCTACTTTTTTTTTAATTAAGATGTTACGTTCTAATATCGTTAATCAGATGGTAAGCTAACCGGGTTTAAACTAAAATTGGCTGCAGTAGGTATACTACTAAATTACTTCATTCAGCTTATCAAAGGTGCACTTTCATTATTTCATGGCCATGATAGAGGCCATGAAATATGCCAGGCCAGCATGACCCAGGGTAACGTCATAATAACCATCGACCAACATTGAGCGTAAATTGGTTTCAATGTGCAGGTAGCCAGGTAATGACGGAAGCTCCTTATCGGCTTGTTTGAGTAAATTAATATCGGGAAACGTTGGCAAAGGTAACCGGAACCTATTATAATATACTAGGTGCTAGGTATTCCCGATCTCGACTGACATAAACTGTAGGTATTATTAAATTTATTAATAATTTTGCGTTTTTATTTGACTAGTCAACAACAACTTGCAACTATCATCTAGGATTTGGAAGTAAAACATTCTGGGGGTTGGGCTTGGGGCACAAGACCAGACTATTGACTTTCCCGCCAAGAAGTCCTTTGTTTTTTTCTCTGGGATAAACATGTAGGTACAACATAGCGACATCTATTAAATCTTAGAGAAATTAAGCTTTTCATTCTTGTCAACTGTTTGTTAAAAATATTTAAAGGGCGCTAGTTACCTTGTCTCAGCCACTTCATTAGAGCGACATCTATTGCGCTGTTAAAACAATGTCGTTTATAATTATTCAAAAGGTTTCTTAGGTATTCATAGATGTCGCTACTGGCTACGACTAAACGCATTTGTTCAAGTTAGGTCTGCAGGGGTGGTGAGGTAAATGAACGGAACACAAAAACGAAACGAAGGATGTGTCCGTATGCGATTGTTTGTCAGTGTGTGCAGTGCGCAAAGTAGAGTTCGTACCCAGCTGTCAAAATTCTTTCTCGAGTGCGAAAGTGAGTGCGGATCTTTCAGAAATGATTTTAAAGACATAACTTTATTTTAGAGTTATGTATGCCAATACGTATTCGTATGCAGATATTTTATCTTGTTGTATAACAAGCAGTACTTACACCGATCAAAGACACCATGGTGCAGTGTCATCCGCCGTTGGAGTTAGAGGAATTGCCAAAAGAAGACGAAGAAAGGCTAGAAAAACTATTTTCTAAATTAGACAATGATGGAAATGGGAAGATCGACATTCACGACTTATCTGTGGCGCTCAAGGAACTCGCTCCTCACATCAACCGGAGTTATGCAGAGGTTAGAATGTGCACTTCCTACTAATACCAAGCTAACGGTGGTTTCGCTTTCTAGCAATCCAGGTTGCGTTACACGTGTGCCCATTCATACGAATGCTGGCTGAATTCCAAACACTCATAAAATTAAACTTCTATTAAAAAAATAAAAGGATAATTTTATCCTGTTTAAAAAAAAAGAATGCACTTCACATAATTTTAAATTGAGAATCGTCGCACTTTCGATTACAATGATAAGCCACAGCTTACTACTTCCTCTTTTGTTTAAATTGTATTATTGTATCAGCCAGTGCCTAACTTTGTACAAAGTTTTATTTTATTTTCACTTTAACTGTCAATTATAACCCAAATTCTCATTTTTTTAACACCGGCCATTTCAATCGCTATTTAGTTCCTGCTTGGTTCAGATGATCTAATTTAACACAATGTTAATTTACCATAAACTAATATTTCACATTTTAATCAAGTAAGTATTTAACTATGAGGCTAACTTTAAGTAGGAACCTACTTACTGCAAACTAGCATCCTATTTTTATTTTTTAACACCTGCAGTAAGATGCCTTTGTATAAAGTTTAGAACTAATTATTTCAAATTTTTCATAAATTTTATCAGACACCTCAGACACCTAGTGGCCTCAGTCTGACAGTAAAATCTGGCTCAGAAGTCAGTTGTTACTAACTGTTTTTTTTTATGGTATTGGGTTACATGGTACAAAAAGAAAAGAAAAATATAAATCCAATCAGTGGATAATAATAATATTATCCTTTATTCAGAGTTCAGACATACAGAGTTTAAAATTGATTAACATTATTCTAATTGACACTTGTCTGTGTGCCTATTTTGACACAGGCTTCCTCCAACTGTTTCCACTCTCCTCTATCTCCTGCAACTGTTGTCCATCCACCTCAAGCTATGGCCTTTATTTCATCCACCAATCAATAAAAAAAAAATTCTTGGTGGCCTTTCCCCGTTTTCGCTTAATATGCCTTGTGAACCAGTTCATTATGGATTTAGACCATTTCTCTTTTCCTCTAAATCAGTTGATAATCTGGTGTAATCTGCAATCTTTGAGGCACTACTAATTTCATTGAAAAAAGAATTCCTTGTTTTTCCTTTCTCCCATATTTTTTTCTGAATAGCTAGTCTGTTAGCGTTTTTATATAATCTTTGATGATTCTTATTTATTGTAATGTTCATGGGTGTGTTGAAGTTGGGCTTCTAAAACTGAATTATTCATTTCACTTACCGTCACGAGCAAGATACATATCCCATAAGATTAATGTTAACAAATCTGTATTTTAACATATCCACTGAATCACAAATGTGTGTAGAATTTAAAATACTTCAAACGTAGATAACAATGAATGAAGTTAGGTAAAATATGTGAATTTATTTAAATATAATAGAGAGTAATACTGATTTGCTTTTCAATGGGATACACGGGATGGCCATTACAATATTTTATTTTGTGACAAAAGACTGTTCAATAACAAACAACTCATCACATTGCATATTATACTTCTTAAACAAATATGTACTCAATAATCCTACCAGTTTTTTATGTATATGTATATTTACTTACACTCTCTATTAGATTGTTCCTAAAATATTATAAAATGTCTAATATTGATGTTAGTGAGTTAAAAAGTTAAATGCTATATTTACTACTTGTGTCGGCCGTTTGGTGTAGTGGTTCGGAACGGACTACTATTCTGAGAGGTCCTGGGTTTGATTCCTGGCCGGACAGAAATTGAAATGATGCATTTTAATATCTGTGATGGGGCTGGGTGTTACTATGTATTTACAAAAAGAAAAGTATATTAAGTATGTTTATATCCGTTGTCTAGTACCCATAGTACAAGCTTTGCTTAGTTTGGGACTAGAAGCATAGTGTAAAATGTCCAGGGATATTTATTTATTTATTTATCTTGTGTGCATTGAGGTTGTAGTATTCGAGCATATAAACTGCTGTAACTAGAACAATAAATTATACTTTATACATTTTTATTGTGTTTATTCAAATGACAACCTAAACACCACGTATGGATTAACTGGATTCTCCTGGATAGACTGGTTCTACCATAAAATATTGTCTCCATCACAGAACATGGAAAGAGGTTTCTGTGTTCTATGGTCTCTATCTTCTGTATAAGTCTGAAAAGAAGAACCAAGTATCCCTTTCTTTTAGTAAAGAAAAAAAGTTAAAGAATTTCACGAATATCCGAAATATTCACTTGTTTCAAACATGTTTTAGTTTCGAGCGGATAATATTTAATTATGGTCAATTTAAAACCATTATTATATTGTTAAGCTCAAAGTTCGCACTCCGTACAATATTATATTAGTGCTTCCTGCTCGGCGTCCGTCAAATAAAACTATATAGTTATAACAGTTACTATCTGGTAATTTATTTACAGTTGTATATTGGTAGACAAGAATATTTATTCTTTGTTACCATAAAACCTTACGCCTTTTTCAGGGCACTTGTCACTTATTTCAAATATAACTGGCTCTACGTATCGGAGACAACATAATATTATCGGCTAGTGTACTCGGATAGGTACTTGTACCAAAACTAAGTAAAGTAAAATCCGTATGATACGGTTACCAGATATTATAATAGCAAAGATAGCCCTAAGCAAGTGGTTACTCTCGCTGGATTATTTAAGTACAGAAAACCTGATAAATTGATGTTTTTAGGCTACTCATGATGTTTCTTTTGCACCGGAAATTGCATTGTTGTGCGCTGGTTTTCCTTTTCTCTGCAAGTTACACACTTAATTTTATTGGTTTTCCAAGATACAGGCTTGGCCTAGTTTGGAAACCTCTGTATATTTACTCTGTGTCTCCTTCAGCAATGCACTATTTATATTTATATATTTAAATTGTGTTACTACCATTGTAAAAGTTTTGTGCAATAAAGAAATATTATTATTATTATTATTTTTGTTTACGGGTCATTCCATAAAAATCTGTATATTTTCGACGTCATTTTGTCCGTAACTTTTTTACGATGCTTTTGAATACTTTATTAGTGTAAATTATTGTTTATTAATTAATTATGTTATGTCTAAAAGGGCCAGTCACTTTATACTTTATTTTAGGAGAAATTATAATTTTCAATTTTTTCACACTACATTACTCCTATAATATGACTTCTAAAAAAGTACTAAACTTATAACCTTAACATTTATAGATAAGTTAATACACATAATGTAGTTGTTTTGTTATTATCACTATATAAAAAACATCATTCCCTAACTAGTAATTTAGTCCCAAGTGCCGTTTAAAGCTAGGGCCTGACGCTCTAGGGACTGACGATTTGGAGTAAAACTTAACACAAATGCAGATTAACTTTATATTATAAGATGCTTAATACGATGTGCCGAAAATAGCCAAAAAACCACACGTAAATACTATTAAATTATATACAATTTCCTATTATAATCAATAAAGCTACTCAACTAGGGACTGACGAAGTGACTGGATTAACACATGTTTCCGCAACAACTGGCACGTTTGCACTTATTCAAAAAACGGCTACCGCAAAGCCAGTATGGTCTGAGGATAACTTCGTATCGTACTTTAAACTCAACTAAATGTCATTCACTCTAAATACATATTAAAGCGCAAAATTATAAAATCAGTGCGTGGCGAGGGAATGACGCTAAAAACTGTAGACTCTTTTTCAACTAAAGAAAATCAAATTATTGTTTATTGAAACCGCAAAATATTAATAGAATTTGGTGTAATATACATTTAAATAGATTATTCGTTAATTAAAACAAAGGATAAAGTTGATGTTTTTATAAATGTGGGTCCCAAAACACAAACTTTTGGAGTACGGACATGCCTAGGGAATGACGTTTTGAGTCATTCAAAAGGAATTTAAGATGTTTTAAAAATAGTTTCAAAAAATATAAATAGGTGATGAATAAAGCACATTGCGAGCTGTTATTTAACAATTTTGGAATAAAATATTAACAAATATTTCATGTGAAATGTGGCGCGGACTAAGAGTTGACATATTTTTGTGGAATGACCCTTACACATTGTGTATCTCGATGTGTGTCCATCGGTGTTTTAATGATATTCACGGGCCTGAACCAAGTGAATATCAATACAATATTACTTAAATATAAAAATCTATTGAGCAGTATTGGGATTCAATTACTTGAAGACGACTGTAAAAATTTACGGACAATTCTGCATGTATTTAGAATGCTGGCCTTTTGTAATTATTATTATTATTATAAAATGTAACTATTCGGTCGTAAGTAATCTTACGAGTATGATTAGGCTGAATCTGATCTGTTCCCAGCGATGTTGTATTTGTTCACCTCACATGAATTTTCAGTGGCACGAAAATCACGTGGCACTTTTCCGTCTTCGTTAGGACATTGGACATTTACCTATTAACCCATTGTTGGTTGGAACATGTTTATTTCTGTTTTATTAATCTAAGTTTCTACCTATAAAATACCGAAATATTAACATAAGATCACTGAACGTTACAGAAATTCCTGGCGAAATCCGGGAAGAAAGACGCGGGCGATGTCACTCTGTCAGAATTCATTCACTACGTTCGGGAGCACGAAAAGAATCTGCGGTTGCAGTTCTCACACCTTGACAAGAATAAAGATGGTAAGATAATCTACTTAACACACTAATGATCAGGATTGAAAGTTTAGGTTAGATTCTCCATTTGCCGAGACGGTCGTGCTTGCACAGACCAAATAACCTGAAAAAATTAAATGAAGAGATGAACTCCCAATTTTATCTGGTTGGGCTAAATTGAAAGTTGAGGTAGACTATGGGAAAAAAATCTAATGGCGTCATAGAGATGATATTCAATGCAAGAACGTTATGATAATGATTGTTCCTCTTGACATAAAATTGTATGAAGTAATTTCAGTACCATTATCGACGTAGATTGTGTTGTTAGCACACATTTAGGTCTTATATAACAGACGGTTGTAGGTCGCTAAACTTTATGTTGGTCGCGCCTGGACATTGGCCAAATAAATGTGCCAACTCGGATTCGATTAGCCGCCCGGTTAGCAAGGAAGTGGCCACAATTCCTTTTGAAGATACTAAACTCCACTTTTAAATTACCTACTTTCTCACAGACAATCAAAACCTCTAAAAATCTAAGGCTGAGTGGCACCACCTAACTTGAACGGTAACTTTATCGATAACCGATGTTTTTTGTATGGAATTTGTAAGATTTTTTACCTTTGTTAAAGTTAAAGTAAGATGGTGCAACCTAGCCTAAGTTTGTTACAAAGTTATTTATTACTTTCCGATCCGCGATTGTCAATTTCCGTTTTCATGACAAATAAATCTGTTAAATTTTATGCTACGAGTCTATTGTCATCTAAACATAAGCTAAGCTAAGTACATTTGCTATGTGCACAGATTATGGGAACATTTTTATGCACAAGACATTGTCCTTTGTCTTCTTCATGTACACGAAGAATCGATGATATATGTACTAATTTATTTGCAAAAACCAGAACGGATACTATTGAATCATCGTTTTAATGGAGTCATTGTCATTGTTCTCATATGCATGGCTTTGTACCAAACCGATTCGTAGATCTCGCAATTAGTGACTTTACTTCTGTTTTATCTTATAAAAGCTCAAAACACTGTAATATTGATAAAATTATACGGAAAAGAACGCAAGACCCTGACATTGAATTGATTGTATTACCACTACTCCTATCTACTTAGGGAAACCTTATGCGAGTAGCTGGTAGAAGATACAAATGCATAGGTATATTATGTACGCGAATGTCTCGTCGCTGAAATTGCATATTCACATTTTTCGCTTAGATTAATAAAGCCTTTTCCGTATAAAAGTTTACTGGATAACTTATAATCCAAACAGAAGTCTTTATGTTGAAAGGAAAACCCATAAGTTTCTTAATCCTAATCTTAAACTAGGTATTAAAAAGAAATTGCACAACATTGATAAGGTAATCTCACAAAATCAACGTCTAGTGATTTGTACTTTACACATTATGACTTGACATAACATGACATTATGTTTGATAATGTAATTGATGGGACAGTTCCAACAATAGTGCCCTTGATTTATTTTTATACTTTTCCACTAAACACGTTAAAAACGAAATAAAAATTATATTACCGTTCATTGATATTTATAAGTCACGCTTAAAATAGTTATTTTTATATCATTTTTAGGAATCCGTAATACGCTTAAAATAATTATGTACACTCATTTTCATCGTATCATAAATAAATAACACTTGGGCTATTTTCAACCGTATGCCTTTTTGAAATGTTTAATAGTATAAAATATACGGAATTATTCAACGTAAGTCTCAAACTTTGTAACGTCGAATGATGAAAATATGTATTCAGTACCATTTACTAAACTACTTACCGCGTACTCGCACTTGGCCAGGTTTTAATATTAATTTGTCCTCGTAATTATTCCAGCCAACAATGTTATTAAGCGTGGAAGGTGACACTATTATTAACTTTTTAAAACAATTTTTTAATGCATTTTCTTTTGTTATTTTCAGGGAAAGTTGATTTGGAAGAACTTCAAACAGCGTTTGCTGATCTGGGCATAGCAATAGGCAGAAATGAAGCCACCAATCTCTTGAAACGGTAATTATCATACGTAAATTGATATAACAGTAAAAACCTAGTACATAAAGCAAAGCGAATATGAACTTTAGTTTTAGTTTGTTAGTCTTAATTGCTTAGCGATTTTGTTTATTGTATATGCATTTGTATTAGTCTAACTGCCGTGAAACAAGTTGTGTCTTGTTAGAGGGTCACCTGTGACCCGCGTTGCGTCTAACGTGTTAAAGGGATGACGTTGACGAAACCTTAGTCTGTATCTTACCCTCAAGATGGCTTCATCTACGCCACTAACAATTTCATTATGTTCCGTACTGTACGATACTTCTATAGACATTCGATTAGTATTCCTGCCAGCGTAAGAGCAATACGTATGTTATAAGACATACAAAAATATAACTAATTTTCATCATACTAATATAATATGATGACGCCACCAACAAACTGATGTACTTATTAGAGACTGAGTTTCTCGCGCAGCTTCTTCTCAGCACTGGACCATATTAATTTCCCGTTAGGACGTGAAAAAGTGATCTTTGTGAGCTTACTTGCATAAAAACACGATTTGAATTTAGTTTTAAATGATGTCCAAACAGCTCTAACGCGACTTCTAATATCGAAAATTAAGCATAATATCGTCAAATAAAACAAGACTAAATGTGATTTTTTCGATCTATGAAAATAAAATTGGATTAAATGCATAAGTTAAGTAAGTGAGCCTACAAAGATGAAGATCCAATTCACACTTGGACTTGGACAGTCTTTTGTTTTTCGTTTATTTATAAGTAGAAGTTAGGATAGTTTCGTATTCATTTGTTATCAAAACCAAGTAACGTCACGTGACTGAATTTTTCATACAATGTTTATAAAAACATCGTTACAGAATATAAAAAGAATTTCAGATGATTGTTGGTGCCAACATGCCTATTGAGAACACTAGGCAGAGAGTACAGTAAACTGCTTCTTATGCCGTTGTTATAGGTACTATTTTGTAACAAAAACGTGTAGCCTGATGTCGGTACAGACTTAAATATGTCACAGTTTTATATGCATACGGCACATTCGTTAGCCACAATATCATTGCCATTGCCGTTCGAATGGCATCGGCTAGTGATGCGTGAATTTTTATTACATTAGGTACTTATTAAAATCGCAATAAACTGTAGACATTTGGAATTTGCACTTTTGACAGACCATAAAACTGAATTTTACCAACATGCTAGTAAGTTTTCATTATGAAAATAGACATGGCAAAATAACAAATAATATACATGACTGGACTCGTAGTTCCTAAAATCCTAATATATCAAATCAATGTATGCTTTTATCCTTACAAAGGCATTATCTTAATCATTGACATTAATAAGTGCGTTAATATGTAGTATAAAGCAGAACATAAATGCTTCTAAAGCGAAGGCTCTAACATTAAGGTATTACCAGTATTACTTTATATATTAATAGAACTTAGAACTCAATGTTAATTGGGTTGGGGGTCCTTCATAATTAGCCAAATTGATAAATAATTCATCATTCATCTTCATAAAAACGAAAGTGAATATAATAAACATTATAAATGCATGAATTACTCTCCATCTTGAAACGTCTGTTTAGTGTGATAAGAAATGCTAATTTTTCTTACCATACTAAACATCTGTTTCTAGATGGTGTTAAGGATTATAAGACCACAATAACAGTTTATAAATCCCATGTTGCTCATTTAGTATTACTATTTGGGAATTTAAGGCTGTAGAACTAATGCATGCCCTATTGTAAGGTATTACTCAAATGTTTCAGAAACGCTGGTTGTCCTAAATTCTGGTGGTAAGTGGAGTCGCGCGCACATCTAGTCGCTTCTCTGCTAAATAATGCCAACTGTGCTATATATGAGCTTGAACCACACTGGGTTAGTTTTTTAGCTAGGTACTTACCTACATACAATTTATGTCAGAAAGATCGAAAACTTTCGTAGATGTTAAAAAAACGAGCCTGAAAATTCGATTCAGTCTGAATCTTTTCTTTGAGGCTTTCAATAATATTATTATTGTAAAGTGGGCAGAAAAACAAAAGAAAAATATCTATGTCTGAACCCATGATGGGTATCTTCCCGAATTTATGACCAAGATCGAGTTATAAGGCGGGTTTCCGTGCGAATTTTAATCATAGTGCGGTATTTTTCAATAATCATGGAATGTTAATATTTTGGCGTAAAATTGTACAATATTCGAGCATGAATGAAAAAATTACACGTAAAATCACTACAATTATTTATACACACGTGCTTAGATTTTAAGCACGTAAATCTGATCTAAGATAACTAAATATGATGTACCTACTAATTTTTTTTCTTGAAATGCTTTGAAAAATAACCTCGTGTGACTCGAGCTCATGTCAAGTTCGTTCCGTGTCTGATAAAAACAATGAACATTTACAATTCCGAGAATGTATATCAAAGCAAAAGTCGTCAATTTTTGATACATTAAGCTCGTACTGACGATACCTCGACATTTTTAATCAGGAATGGAACCTTACAGATAGCCAAGTTAGAGCGATGATCGTTAAAACTGTAGCCCCACGATGTATTATAACAACAAGGTACATGTTGTACCGTTCTCATTAGTATGAGGCTTGTATATAATCAATGATCATGTATCACGTTGTATCATTACATCACAAACGATCATAGCTTTTGGTATTAGCCTCTGTGTATCAATGACTCTAAGAATCAAAGTCAGCAACTTCATATTTCTTGTCATTTGTCCTTGCCTTAAGATGGGTGATACAATGATGAATATCTAATACGGATTATGGTTCATTATGATCATTGTGGCGTCTAATGTGGTTGTAATAAGTGCTATATTATACATAAAAATGTTTAGCCTTACATGCTGTCATCTGTACAATAGATATGCTTTGAGTCGACGTATTCGAACCACTACGTAGCCACATTAAAACTTATTACTCCTTTCATTCATTTATAACAGCATGCAGACTTAGCCAATTAAGCGAAATGTAAAGACAACACTTAAGAGCCATTTTACATTTTCGTGCGAATTTCTAAGATTTTGGAAGCATGAATTACTATCTTAAGCAACACCCAGATATTATTGAATAACTGCGAAAGATAGGTCAATCCTTAGTGTTGACCATTAATGAAACGGATTTACTAAAACTCTTTTGCTTAATTCTCAGTGCCTCATCTCCCACAACCATTTTACGGAAAAATTGCCGCAGACTCAATTTCAAAGTCCTGTATCTATTATTTATGCTCATATAATAAGCTTAAAAATATATAGTAATCATCGGACATATATTCTTGTTGTCCATTAATGAAATGGATTCTTGAATTTCACTACCATTATTGAGTAAAATTTAAAAATAATTTGGCAAATTTGAAGATTAACGTCACATTTTGATCGTGGTTTTTGGTTTAAAAACACAGCAATAACTGCAATAAAAGTACAAACATCCAGACATCCATTCAAACTTTCGTATTTATAATATTAGTAAGACTAGTAAGAAGTAAGATAGTTAGATGAAATATTTTAGTTATTTGTTTAATAATAATTATTATTATTTAATTTTATTTATTTATTTCTTAGCTCTGTCTGATAATGGATCTGGAGGAGTTGCAATGACCACATCCATTGCAACTCCGTAACAAAACAATAGAATCCCATGGAGTTTGGGCTTGTGTGATTCGCCTTGACGAATACTTCGTCCCTAAATGATATCCAGGGTCCGATGATAGAGCTGTAAGAGGGCATTATTTTTTCACTATGTGACTGTCTTTATTTTGTACTTAATATATATTTTACATATTATACCTATTCGCGTTTCATTATTATTAATCGAAATATAAAAATTTTTGAAAGATTACATAAACTCTATTAAAATTTTAAATTAATTTATCAAGTTTTAATACCTTATTCTACCTTAATATTAATAACTTATATCAAGTCTTAATACGGTCACGGCTCAAGATTTTTTTGTCCATTTCGGCGTTCTTTTTACTCTTTTTACGTTGCGTTGACAGTTTGTACCTAAATTCGCGCGGAACTTTTTTGTGAAATGGCTCTTAACTTATTGAAATAATAATCAATTGCCGAAAATTGGTAAACAGAATTGCTTCGTCTGCCTTCTGACTTGAAGTTTCTAGTGGCTCAACGTTTAGATATGCAGCCAGGCCTCCGCCATTTAGAAGTTTATTAGAGGCTCTTGCTACATTTACGGCCACAACTTATAGTCAGATGAAGTTGCTGAATTTGGTTTAAAGACTTCATAGTTGGTCAAGTGCTAAGCAAGCGCCAAACGAACGATAGACGGTTAAAATATCCTTCATCGAAATCCAATAAATAATGGTAATATAATTGGCTGTAATCTGAAGCAATATTCTGTATAAATATATAATTTTTAGGAAAGTTGAGTGAAGAGGAAAGGATTTTTGGTAAGTTTTGAATTTTAACTTACCTACGTAAGCTTAAATATCTGTTGAGATATAATATTCTATTAAATTAGAATGCATTGTGCGACTGGTGCTTTGTTTTGGAACGAAGCGTGGTAAAATAGAGGTACGAGGGTAAAATCTGTGTGCTACTCTTGAGTAGTTAATCTTTCTGCCACATCAATTTATACATTCGGAAAATTCGGCGACCAAAATTACTGACGTGATCAGATTTTCAAAATTAGCTTACGTGTGATTTTTAAAAAGTTTTTATCCTTTTCGCTATTGGGGTCATCTAATATTGGCGTGGGCTAATTTTCTCTCTGTTGTTAATATTTTGACAGACCCGTTGCGTAGAAGACATAGGCAGCATGGTTTATGACCTTTGCTTGCTATTAAAGAATTTAAAAAGTAAAAATACTTCCTCCTTTTCTGCTGAGTGCCTTTCTCAAAATGGCGCTCAATCGTAGCTTCGCGTCGATTTGAAAACAGTTGAAGAGTGACAAGCTGAACGCTTCTGCCCTCGTCACACATCTCATGACATCGGCTCGAACTGCTACCAAACTGCAACGCCATCGAGTTTCGTTTGATGCTTGCATTGGCCGTGTGGTGCCAGCGGGTCCTAAGAGTCACCTTGTCCGCAGGATGGACCAGGATGGGAGTCTCAACATCAGCTATGACGAGTGGCGGGATTACCTGCTCCTGGCACCGTCGACAGACATTCACGCTCTCATACACTTCTGGAGACACTCTACTGTGAGTATGTTTGTTTATGTTTACTTAGGCCCAGAACAGACGGTGAAATGCAACTACAACGAAACTGCAACTTTCTGATGATTCTGATGAATGAAACTGAAAGTTTCAGACTGGTCGCGTCTCTCAACGGACGCTATGGCAGAAACTTAGATGCCACTCAAAAGTAACTAGGTAGCAGTTGCAGTTGCGTTTCACCGTCTGTTCTGGGCCTTTCTTACCTTATTTATTTTTAATAATTTGTTTAAAACATGGATAAACAGGATAAGCTTTAAAAGGAATGAAAAACATTTTTTTTTGTTTAAAATAGTTGAAAACTTTTTGGCTCCGTTCCTAAATTATTAACCGCCTCTGTGGTCTAGTGGTAAGACCACCTGCTTCAGACGCAGAGGTCCCGGGTTCGATTCCCAGTGGGGGCAGATTTTTCTGTTCGGTTTGGTTGGTGGTAGGGCTTGTTCTAAGTCCGCCTGGCTAGCTACCACCATCTTACCTAAGTCTGTCGCCATAACAAAAATGTTAACAGCATTGTTGTGTTCCGGCAGTTAGAGGTAAGATAGCCAGTTCCTCCGTGGTTGAGGATTCCGGGTGAAGCTCGCTTTCACCTTCGGCCTGATCGTCACTTACGATCAGGTGAGATACAGGCCAAGAGCTTCCTCGTTGTGGATAAAAAAAAAGTGCGTTAAAAATAGACACCAAAATACCGAATACAAATACTCTTAAATAGGTAGCATTCTATGTTGTACACCACACCAAATCGTCACAACAGTGTGAAAGGGCACGATTGAAAGGAATTATCTCTATGAGATAACTCCGAGAGAAGGTATTAGTAACCTTACTCAGGAGTTGTATAAAGGACATCATCCACGTTTCATATATTTTTGGTCCAAAATCAAAAGTGCCGGCCAACAAAAAAAAAGTGCTGTATTCTGACAGAATACGTCTGCCTTAGCATTTGTTACTATGGCACTAAAGCCGTAGCTCCACTGTGCGTCGAGTATTTGAGATCTTAAAGTCATCGACTATTCGTACATTTTTTGTTCAAATCAAAAGTGTCGGCCAATAAAAAAAAAAAGTGCTGTATTCTGACAGAATACGTCCGCCTTAACATTTGTTACTATGGCACCAAAGCTGTAGCACCACTGTGCGTCGAGTATTTGAGATCTAAAATTCATCGACGATTCATACATTTTTTGTTCAAAATCAAAAATGTCGGCCAATAAAAAAAAAGTGCTGTATTCTGACAGAATACGTCCGCCTTAGCATTTATTACTATGACACCAAAGCTGTAGCACCACTGTGCGTCGAGTATTTGAGATCTAAAATTCATCGACGATTCATACATTTTTTGTTCAAAATCAAAAATGTCGGCCAATAAAAAAAAGTGCTGTATTCTGACAGAATACGTCCGCCTTAGCATTTGTTACTATGACACCAAAGCTGTAGCACCAATCTGTGCGTCGTAGTATTTGAGATCAAAGTCAGTCGTTTCATATATTTTTAGAACTCAAATACCACGATGCACAGTGGTGCTACAGCTTTGGTGCCATAGTAATAAATGCTAAGGCGGACGTATTCTATCAGAATACAGCACTTTTATTTTTAAGCCGGCACTTTTGATTTTGGACCAAAATGGATGATGTCCTTTCATATGTAAAATTAGACGAAAACATTGTTCTTAATTCGAAAATCCGCACAATATATTGCAACCAAATGCAACCACCTATCTAAACCTGAACAATATAGCATAAAATATTCAAACCGTAGTTTTGAAGTTAAAATACGTCGCGAACAAACGGTTATTAATTTCACTGGTTATCGCTCTACCAAAACGCTTTTACTATTTTGGAAAACAAATTCAAACCTCTGAAATACATGGACAAACTACTTTGCTTTGCAAATCGGTCATACCAATCGGTCATAATTCGTGAACTCGGCCCGATAAGCGGTCTCGTTGCACGCCAAGCCAATGTCAATGTTACGAGAAGGGTATGTGAAGCTATAGTCAGTGGCATCTTATTCCGTTGTAATACTGTCTGTTTTGCTACAAAAATATCTGACGTGCTGCACAACGCATACGGCATCGTTGTTTGTAAGGATTCCCTTTAGCTGTTACGAGTTTACACTAGTTCATTCACGTCCCCTTTCATGATGATGACTATACTTCACTTAAGGGCAAAGTGGACTAAAATTGAAGGGCGCGTGTAAGTTATTTTCCACTAGGTATAATATGCCCTTTCGATTTTAGATAGATACTCAATGGAGTGATTTGTCTATAGCGGTTTTCACCAATACCTTAATAAGCCCTGAATTAGACCAGTAAGATCAAAATAATAGTCCCTTTATGGACAAAAACTCGGACAGTGAAAGAACTAATTCTCTGTCTAGGCAGATTTACATGTTCTTTATTTACCCTTTAGGAATGATAATTTATTTAATAGAGGTACAATAAGTTAAGCATACATATTATAAGCTAGCTCTAGCACGTGGCAAAGTTTTCCTTTACAGAAAATCTAATTAACTACGATAACAATTTATCTGTCATAAGCCGTTAATGCGATTCATTATGTACTCGACATGAAATGCTCTTGTAATTTATGTTTCAATGAAAGTCGTGAATAACGATACCACTATAAACATACGCCGCAATAATTATTATCTTCAAATTAAAAAAGCAAGCTATCCAAGAAAATGCTATTACTTCAAAAATTAGCTTTTACAGAAGAAAATTTATATATTACTAGCTGACCCGGCGAACTTTGTTCCGCCTTAATGGCAATAAATAACGGGATAAAAAGTATCCTATGTCCTTCTCCTGGCTCTAAACTACCTCCCTGACAATTTTCAGCTAAATCAGTTCAGCCGTTCTTGAGTTATAAGTGGAGTAACTAACACGACTTTCTTTTATATAATAGATTTAGTTCGAAAAGCGAAATCTTAACTTGAACTGCTCTTACGTGGACAATTTTAGCAATGTTGCTCGGTAGCACGTTCGTATCAATCTATCTGAAGCAATTTTTCGATCATTGTTTTGTCATTATTGAATAATATATTTATTTACTATCCAAAAGGTTTGGTTATTTCAGTAATAATCGCATGTATTTAGTATTCGCTTTCGTAATTTGTTCCAGATTGATCCATAATGCCATCATAATTGCCGAAATTGCCCAAAATTGTAATGACACGACCAAATTTCCCAAATTGTAACCTTAAACCACATTTAAATCTTAATTAGTTACATTATTCATTTTTGAACCCGTATCCAAAGTAAATTATTTACTTTGTGACGAAACGTCACTTATCAAGTTTATAAAGCGATAATTCAAGGAAAAACTAATTTCCCTGTATTCCTAAATATACTTATTAATTACCCTGATTTCAGTAAAAACTGGTATGTGTTGAATTATCACATTAAGTAATTGCGTTTCATGAAATATTTTTGATAAGAAATAATCCAGTAAAGTGCCTACTAAAGTTGACCTGTGATAACAATCTGTAGTCAGTATTCCCATTTAATCAACACTTCAATAAAATTGAAGTCTTTTTCTATTGTTTGGCTACTAAATTAATGAGGTTAAGAAACTGTATTGATGCATTCAACATACTTATGCATTTGCTCAATCATACTACTCGTAACCGTAACTAGTCATAATGCACCCTCAAATTTTGTAAGTATGGAAAAACTTATAATTTGGCATTAAACGAAACACATAATTTTAGGTAGCATAATATCTTTGAACACATGGTTTATTTTAAATTCATATAGGTACCTACCTAAAAATTTTAACACCCACAATATTTATTTTAAACTAGCTTTTGCCCGCGGCTTCACCCGCGTGAAATTTAGTTTGTCACATTCACATATCGTCATAAATTATAGCCTATAATATGTTATTCTGGGCTATAAACAATAATACTGTAAAGTTTCATCAAAATCCGTTCTGTAGTTTTTGCGAGGAAGAGTAACAAACATCCAGACATCCAAACTTTCGCATTTATAATATTAGTAGGATTCATGTGCCTACTAGACCTAAAATGTTTAACACCTACAATACTTATATTAAATTATTTATAAGCGCACGCGTACTCTTTTTTTTTCGTGTCATTCACATCAAATATGTAAAGTAGGTAATACGAGCAGTCGAGCATCTATGCCCACTTTATCGTGCAAGATAATATTAAACTTGACAATAACCCTTATCATACATAGCAATAAATTCGTTATCTTTTCTTATTCATAACAGTTATTTGGCTAAAATGTGGCAATAACAAAGATTCTAACACAATATGTTTTTCCTTTACTGCATTCATTACCTATTATGGATATCACAGAGGTGTCGACAAAAAGTTTAGATCGCACGGTGCACGTTGCTAAAAACCAGCTGGTGTGAAATATCGATGATGATACTAATTGCACTACTGTTTACTTCGTCGTGTCTTAAAACCATTAATTATGAATTATTTTAAAATATTATCTGTGTTAATAGGAAACATGAAACGTGGTGGCGCAACGATCCGTGGAACGCGGCGAACTGTGAATGTCTAAATATTTTATGTGCATAGTGGGAATCCATCAGATTTTTTTGTGTTTTGCATAGAACAACGCCCGCCCGCCGAAAATTAAAATCGAAACGAGTAAACCCATTGATAAAAACCACAGATTTATGGTGAAAACTAGTTGAATGTAGTGCTAAGTTATATGTATAAGACTAGCTTTTTCCCACGGCTTCACCCGCGTGAAATTTAGTTTGTCACAGATCGTCATAAACTGTAGCCTATATGTTATTCACGGTTATAAAGAATAATACTGTAAAGTTTCATCAAAATCCGTTCAGTAGTTTTTGCGTGAAAGAGTAACAAACATCCAGACATCCACACAAACTTTCGCATTTATAATATTAGTAGGATGTCGTCGTAATGCTGTCTTGATCTTGCATCATGTCTACATCATTATCTAGAGGTCCCAGACTTCAGATTGTGCGTACTGCTAGGATCATTGACTCTTC